GTTTTATTCCATACAGGTGTGGATCAGGAAATGTGCCTTAAGAGAGTTTCGGAAAGCTAGTTCTGCTCCATGTCAATAGAAACTGGGGGGGAAAGGGGAGGCATTCAGGATGAAGTATTGCAGAAAATTCTGAGTTAAAGTTAAACAGATTAGTTTACTACTTAGAATCATTCAGAATCTTTAACATGGAAATGTGTTTTGTAAATCTAAGTTTACTTGACCATTAAATCTTTTTTTTTTTTTTTTTGGCCAGGGTAGTAGACCTCAGTAGTTCACAACCTTGGCAGCATATCAGAATCATGTAGGTAGTTTTTAAAAATCCCAAGACCCAGACTTCACCCTGAGCCAATTATATCAGAATTTCTCGGTGTAGAACCCAGGCATCAATATTTTTTAAAGCTTCCCAGACTTTTTTAAACCGAGTATGAGAATCAACATAACTTTGGGAAAAACTGACCTATAGGTCTCTTCTCCAAGCTAAAATAAAATAGCCACATTAGAATATGTTCCCGGATTTATCCAAGAAGAGAACTACCCAAAAAAGTAAAAGAAAAAAAACCCACTAAACTAACAACTGGTGATAGGACATGCAACATTCAACCAGCTTTATTCCATTGGATGTCAGCTCAGGACGCTACCTCAACTTCACCTAAGTACCGAGTCATCATTTTTCATGTCACGCTCTCTATATTTGTCTTTGAAACTGGACCCCAGGATATTATTTATTGTCCATATAGTTTTATTCCTCATTTAATTTTATATATCATAGAAAAATTGGGTTTTAGTAGATTTATGAATCATCAATACTAAAAACAAATTACCAAAGTAATACATACGGACCAATAAACAAAGAAGTAAATGTACACTGAATTTAAAAGCACAAAAAAGATTTAAAAGAAGAGTTGTACAGTTTAGATGGGTTACTTCTTCTGTGAGATGTAAGGAATTTTTCACAAACACTGTTTTATAAACACCCAAAAATGCAGATTTGAAAACCACTGCCATTGACCGCCAAGAAAATAATCTAGAAATTCCACCAAGGGATGGTGGTCTTGTGGGACATTAGACAGGCTGCCATTAATATGACTTTGCAGAATGACTGGTCAACAGTATAGACTATAAATTTGGTGGTACACTGAAAGGAAGAAAACCCGAGAAGAATCACACCAGGCTGGCTAGTTCAAGCTCTGTGACTCTGACCCCTTGCTTGCTCCCTTGAAGGCACACTGCCACAACAACATTAAAGATGGGTGGACTCGAAGAATTAAGATAGATGAAAAGTACCATTTTCCTCTAGCTTTCGGCTGAAGTCACTCCTGATAAACACACTGGCTATCCTTAGTACAAATGAAAAGTACAGTTTCCAACACAACAACTTTACAATTGAATGGAACACCCTAAAACTGACCTGCAAACAGCAACATCACAACAAACACTCCTTGAGTGTCACCAAGCCAGGAATTGAACTGTCTCCAAGGTCTACTACATTTAGTGTAGCCAAGGATAGGCAGTAAATGGGAGTGGGAGGTGGGGGGGTTGGGGGAAAGGAGTTAAAAGGTACAAACCTCCAGCTATAAGATAAGTAAGTACTGGGGATGTAAGGTACATGATGATTACAGTTAACACTACTGTATGTATGTATGTATTTTAAGTTTCTAAGGAAATAGATCCTGAAAGTTTTCATTATAAGAAAACAATTTTGTAACTATATGAGGTGATAGATGTTAACTAAACTTATTGTGGTGATAATTTCACAATATATAAATGTCAAGTTATTATGCTGTACACCTTAAATTTATACAGTGTTGTATGTCAATTATATCTCATTAAAATTGAAAGAAAAAAGATAAGTCATAAAGCTACCCAAATCTTTTTTTTTAATTTGCTTTATATTTAGATAATTTTTAACTAGGTTAATAGAAAACTATAATTTAAAAGTTTTAAGATAGAATATGAAAATGAATATATGTATGTATACACATGACTGGGACATTGTGCTGTACACCAGACATTGACACATGGTAACTGACTGTACTTCAATAAAGTAAATAAATAAATACTTTTTTAAAATAAAATTTTTAAGATAAATCCAAATAGAAAAACTCAATCATATAATCCTTTTGGTTATAATGATATACTTACCCTGCAAACATATTATATAGTATTCTCCCTAACCTATCATTACAAAAGACAACCTATGCCATACAAATGAAAAATTAAAGCACCTAAACCCAGCACTGGGATTGTTATTCTCCATTCTTCACCCTAACATGAAAGGCATTCATGGGAGCTACCCCTAACATCTCCAATCCTCAGTTTAAGCGTTAAGCTTCCTTCCTCATACCACCTATCTCATAACTCTAATGAGACACTGTAATTGTTTTACACACCTACACAGTTACAAACTATACACAGAGCTCCCTGGAGCATGGTTGTCCTAATCATCTTTAGATCCATAAGACTATCACAGTGACTGGCACAGAAAAAGCAGTAAGTGGATTAACGCATGTATTCCCTGGCACACTAGTAAGAAAAGAGCCCAATCCCCGCCTTCAGGAGGAGAGTCAGCCATATTTAGTGGGGAGTCAGCCATGCAAACAGTTAACTACAATACATGACACTTGTTTTCATGGTGTGTGAAGCAAATGTAATGGGGCAAGAACAAAATGTAATACACAAAACGTAACAGAAAATTATCAGCACAGGACCTGCCAAGTATCTCTAGAAAAATGAGCTGAGGCATTACAGAAGAGACTGCTCAGATAAACATTTGTTAAATCAACAAATCTTGAAGAACAGCATTGTTTAAAACCTTAAAACCCCTTTTATTAGCCACTAAAACAATACAGCATGAACGGGAACATGAGCATTTCAGTAAAGAGGGAATATAAAGGTACCAACCACACTTGGTACCAACAAGCCTTCAAAATTGTCTTCATTTTTTTTAATTTTTTTAAACAGTAAAACAATTACATTTAAATGGAAGTTTCTTGGAGGCTTCCTATTTTTTAAATAAACATGTTAATACAGAAGTGGAATTTTTTTTTAAAGCTAGACAATGAAGATAAAAGTGTAATTTAACAACAAATGGGGTGGAAAACTTAGTGGACGATAGACTCCAGGTTCCAAAGGAAGGCTAAGGTGATGATGGCCGATAGAACTAGTGTGAAGATGTTTCTTGATGATACTGCATTGGCCTTGGTCGGCCTGGGCTGTACACTAAAATCACTCATGTCTCATCTCAGCATTAGGAAAAAAATTAAGTTTATTTAGTCAAATTCCAGAAAACTAGTAGTATTTTTTTCAATTAAACTTTTCACTAAATTTTAAATGTACACTTTGTGGTATTTTCTGTTTCAAATGTATGATTTATGGAGAGTTTGGATTTAGAAACGCAGTTTAATGTAAACACAACTCTTGGTGTCTGAGTTATCAGACAGATACAACTTAGAGCTGCATTCAAGGGCAAACTTTTAGTAGGAAATATGTGCCTAAACTAAGGGAAGAAATTCCTGATGCTTGTGTTAAGCGCTTTTTTTCAGGTACGTAACCAAAACTCTTTATGTCTAACAACAACACTATAATTTTCTCCAGAATATTGTCTCAGTTTCTTTCTTCTAAAATACATTTGAGATCATGTGAATTAAAAAGACAGAAAATGACTTAAATGTCTACCTATAAGAGAGTGACTAAATGCATTCCTGTGTACACTATACAGCAATCAGACAGAACAAGGAAGGAAGCTCTCTACGTACTGATGTGAAAAGATACATCCAAAACGAGTTAAGTGGAAAAAAGTTAAGATGCAGAACAGTACATGCAGTATGTGATATTTTGTGATAAAAACAGGACCAATAAGAATGCATATCTTTATTTGCTTGTATGTGCATAAAGAAACTCTAAGAAGGATACAGAATAAACCAGTACCAGTAATTATCTGGAAAGGACCAGACAGATAAGAATCAAGGGTGGGAGAGAGTTTTCACTGTAAAGCTTCTCATATATTTTAAAAATATTGGAACCATGTTAATCTATTTATATTTTCAAATATTTAAAATTTAAAAATTTGGAAAAACTGGCTACAATTATGAAAATTATGATTTAATTCTATGTTACATTTTAATAACTTTCTTACTGTCTTTCCTTCCATTCTGATCTTATTAATTGTTCAAAGATTCTAGTTCTCAGGTAACAAATTAATTACCCACCACAGACAAGCGCCTCAATCTTTCCTGCTCCTCTCTTTCATTATTGTCGGTAATTATGACACTAGTAACAGTAACAAGCAATCTGTATGCTTGTAGACTTGGACACATAAATAAGCAAAAGGGCAGAAATATCAGAATCATTCACAATTCTCAGAGATGACTGTCGTGGGAGCTTTGATGTATGCTCCCTTCTACTTTTTAAACAACCTCAACTTTACTTGAAATTTTTAAAACACCTTCTTCAGGTGATACTTAACAAAATATTCTTTCCCAACACTGTAATGAGAGACAGCCTTCCTTAGGATGGAAGCTACATTTGTCTGCTAAACGGAGAATGTAGGGTCCCCACTAAATATATACTTCTGGGAAGGTACTCTGAGGGTCTTATTCTATATTTCCAGCCCCCAACACTTGGTGAGAGCTCAATCCATGCTCACAAAATGAAAGAATGAATGGATGAATCAACGATGTAGCGTACTGAGATCTAGCAAACCTCCACATGGTTATTAGGTCGTACATCAGGCACTCCTTGTACTTCAACTGTCAAGATATAGGAAGGATTCAAGGAAAAAATTAATTTCTAAAAAGGAAAAGCTATTTTATTCTTACTAGATGGGTGAGGGCAGGAGGGGTTGTCTCTACAAAAATGAATAATAAAAATTACCATCTCATTTCATTCCATAAAACACCATGGTCACAGTCTAAGGACAATTAAAAAACACAATAATCCAACTCTAAAGGAGCGCGCTGTGTGGCCCAGTGCGATGGCCCACGTCTCACAAGCGGTTATACCTGAATGGAAGATAGGGGGCGTCTGAGCCGGACAGGAGTGCTCTGTAGGCTTCTTCTGGAGTCTTCTTTAAATAGATCACCTAAGACAAATAAATAGCAACACTTAGAACACCACCAAAGAATGACACAAAACTAATATAATTACTCACCAAATCTGCATTTCACTTCTTGCACTTTGAAAGTGACAGCTGTCATGGTGATAATGTTGATCTTCAGACAGCAAGCAAGCTGCCAAAATTTCCTTTTTAGCTTGAAGCTAAATGGTAACCTTTGGCTTTTAAGGATGAGCAGAAGCTTTAAGACAGAGGGCAGATCCATAAAGGGGCCGTCTGGGGCTGTTTACAAGGCACATTGAACACATACAATGGCAGGGTTTTCCCTTCTGGGAGCAGAACAATTGTACCTCCATTACTGAACTGTGTGTTCACCAAAGACCAACACAGGCCTGCCTGTCCTTCACAGAAGACCCACTGTGAGGTAATTCAGTTCCTGATAAATTCTGAAAGACATCTCAGGGCACAAGACCCTTGGGAGGTCTACCGGGTTCTCCATCTGCTCTGAGGACAGCTCACGTTGCTTTCTTAAACAATCAATAAAATCACAACGAAATGGAGGGAAATGCATACAGGTAAGAGCATTAGAAAACATGTTGGCTTGGCTCTTAACATCAAGAATAGTTATATCCCTCTGGTGCAGCACAATAAACTACTCTTCGACCAAGAACAAACAAAAACGAGCTCTTAAAACCAGTAAACGACTTCTGTTTAGTCATTCTGACTAAATAATACACGCCAGGAGCTATATCAGGTACTGGCACCTCTCTCAGCAGAATTCGCATTCTTGTCGGGCAAAAAAATAACTAACAAAAATAAATCCAATCTGAGATAAGTGCTGAAAAGGAAATAAACAGAGTCCTGGAAAGAGAATAGACTTACTCAGTACCCTGAAGTAAAGTCGTCAGGGAGGGGTCTCTGGGAGCCACGGAGGGTGGGGTGTGCAGGAGGAGCACACAGGAATGGCTAAGGAAAAGGGGGAACGAGAGGGGCTGGGGTCCCTGCCGGGGGCGAGAGCGTGGCGAGTCCCGCAGAGGAAGACGGTGTGGGTGTGGCTGGGGCGGGGCAGGAAGGGCGGGGCAGGAAGGGCGGGGCAGGAAGGGCGGGGCAGGAAGGGCGGGGCAGGAAGGGCGGGGCAGGCCGTGGTCCGACTGCGAAGAGCAAGGCAACCAGGAGGAGAGCTTGGTTTTATTCTAAGTGCAGCTGAATGTTTTAATTCTCAGACAAGAGCACTGATCCTTTTCCTTTATAGTATGATTCAAATTCAATCCCTAAAATCCTTTCTACCTAGAATTAATGACATTATGTCCTTAATATGTCCCAACATCAAAACCCTATGCATTTCAACAAGAATGGCCGAGTCCACTTCTTAAAAAGTAGGGTTTTCCTCTTCTGCTTACAAAGTTTCTGTAAGCTGTTCCACTGGCAATATTACATGGATTTAATTATTAATAATTTCAGGACTAGAAAACATCTCAACCCTCTAAAGAAAGAAAACTAATATAAATACAGAAAAAATACTTCTAACTTTAAGAAGAAAGCTCCATATTCTTTTGACAAGTAAACATGAAGGTCTGATAAAGCACACATCAAACAAAGCGAATTGAATATGAAACAAAAACAGCCCAGAAAATGAAACCACAGCAAAAGAAAGATCGAGACATGAGACACAGATTCCACAGAGAACCACATCTCGAGTTGCAGCTCAAATAATTGCAAAAATCCATTTAAACCAACCCGAGCTTTAAAGACCGTTTTCAGTCACCAATATTAAAACAGGACTTCGTTGTTCCCTAATGGGCAGGTTACATAATACACTGAACAGAGTTGGTTATAATACAGTGATTTTTCAAGCCTAAGGATGCAGCAGTATTTGAAAATTGACTACTCCTGTTAAAAGGGAAAGCTGCTTGCAGCAAGCTCCTGTGTTTGGATTAGATAATTAAAGCTTATACAACCCCCTTTGGAAAGCAAAAATACATTTCCCTCCTCAGGAGCAATTACATTAATTCCCTTTAATTCTGAGGCAGTCATTCTGCAGGAGGGAGGCAACAGCCTACAGGAAAGACTTCTCTAGACTGGTTACCCCACTGGGTTTTGCTACTCATCTTACCCGCATGACTTAGCACACATGACCCATGTTCTCACACTGTAAGATGAGAGTCTTTGTTTTTATTTTTATCCCAGTGCTAAATTATTAATAAGTGCAAAGTGAAACCCAACAGAGGCCATCTAAATTCCAGCAAGATTCCAGGGGCAGGTAAATGCATTGTCCTTTTACAACCTGACAATAGGTACTCGGGAGAGAGGTGAAGTGTCTATTAAGTGAGTGCATTACTGAATGCGTGCATGCTGGTCATGAAAATAACCCAATTCCAGCTTTCCAGGAGAAGAAATGTCATGGACTCTTATACCCAATCTTCTCAGATATGTCTCCTATTCAAAAAAGAGAAAGACAGACAGACAGACAAACTAGGCCTGATTAGAGCTCAAAGAAAACAACTTTTAAGCCTGTGCTGTTGAGGGACCTAAAGCTCAGAAAGATCAGGAGCTTCCCAAACTCGCATTGCTGCTCTGTGACAAAGTTAGAATTCGAACACAGATCTGACTGCAAAGCCCACACAGCACATCTGCTTGAAAGCAGAGATGTAGACAATGGAAGCAGAACTGGGGTGGGCAGGAGGAGATTCCTACTCTTCCAATTCCTAAATGCCATTACCCTTGACTTTTTTGGGGGGAGGGGGGATTTCTTTTCTTTTTTTAAAAAATTTTTATTGAAGTGCAGTTGATTTACAATGTTGGTTTCAGGTGTACAGCAAAGTGTTTCAGTTATACGTATACATATATATATTTTTTCTTTTCAAATTCTTTTCTATGTTATTACAAGAAATTGAATATAGTTCCTTGTGCTATACAGTAGGTCCTTGTTGTTAACTTATTTTGTATATAGTAATGTTACATTTGACTTTCAAAATTAAGTGACTTTAAACTGTTACCAGTAGTTGTGCCTGAGGAATAGGGCTGGGGGAGGATCAGAAGGAGGAAGGAGGACTTTCTACTTTATATTTTATACTATCTGCATGTTTCTTGTATTTTTTACTAACATGCATTAATTTGTTTTTTTAATGTGTATTAATTTGTTTTTAACTGATTTCATAACTAAATCAGTTATAAAATATTAAATGTGTATTCATCTTAAAATCTACATTTAATTAACACTCATAAATTTGCTACCAGATATACTAATACTTCTAAAAATATTTTCTGAATCAAATTAATTTAAAAGCACCATTTAAATACCCTGATTTTCCTTTTCTGCTTCTCAGGAAAAAAATAACATGCTGTCTACTCTTCTCACTAGGTATTAGCATATATAAACCCAAACCGGAAGAATCGTCCCCAACTTTTGATTGATAAAATCTTAACAAAAGTTTTCTGTATAGTGCTTGGTTTATCACGCCAATTTATCCCTGAAATAGTGGGTATCTGTACTGCTCTTATAAAATTGTCCTACTCTTTGCTAGGAAATCCTATAAACCTTCTCAACAGAATAGCATTTGACATATATGTTCTTACTTTTAACTAACTAGGAGTCAGTCAATTAAAGTGATTTTTCTCCTGCTTAATTAACTTTGATGCCAGGTACCAAGGACCAAAACAACTCTTTTAACTTTTAATAAAAGATTCTTAAAGAGCCAACATTCTAACATATATATTACCAATAGCTATGAGTCTTATTTAACAATAATTAAAATTACAGTACTACAAACTAGTATAACATCTATTATTTACCAATAAGCCAATGTCTCCCAAACTTCAATTAATCATCATCAACTTGCTCAACTTCTGCCACTACATGCATGTGTTACTATTCTCTTTAAACAGACATACTCTCTTAACTTACATCAATTTATTCTGAAGTGTTTTATATCATTGCTATAAATGGAAAACCAGTATCATTTGCCATTGAGTCCACACATAAAAGAATTTTAAAATACATAACTCTAAAAATTTTTAAATGTTTGTGCAGAGTAATTGCCATATAAGTGTGGGTTCATTTCTGGACTCTATGCTGTTCTGTGGATCATGTATGTGTCTGTTTTTGTGCCAGTACTGTGCTGTTTTAATGACTGCAGCTCTGTAATATAGTTTGAAATCAGGGAGCATGATTCCTCTAACTTTGTTCTTTCTCAAGATCGTTTTGGCTATGTGAGGTCTTTGTGTTTCCATACATATTTTATAATTATTTGTTTTAGTTCTGTGAAAAATGCCATTGGGCAATTAATCTTTGACAAAGCAGGCAAGGATATACAACATGGGGAAGTTATCCCCTTCAGTAAACTGTGTTGGGAAAACTGAACAGTTACATGCAAAAGAATCCAACTGGACTACTCTCTCACACCATGCACAACCATAAATTCAAAATGGATTAAAGACTTAAATGTAAGACCTGAAACCACAAAACTTCTAGAAGAAAACATAGGCAGTATTCTCTTTTACATCAGTCTTAATAGTAGTTTTTAGGATATGCACCCTCAGGCAAGGGAAGCAAAAGCAAAAATAAATGGGACTACTTCAAACTAAAAAGCTTTTGCACAGCAAAGAAAACTATCAGCAAAACAAAAGGGCCACCTACTGAATGGGAGAAGATATTTGCAAATGACATGTCTGATAAGGAGTTAATGTTAAAATAGACAAAGAACTCATACAACTCAATATCAAGAAAACAAACAGCCCAATTAAAAAATGGGCCAAAGATCTGTAAAGATATTTTTCCAAAGAAGACATACAGATACCCAACAGGCACATAAAAAGATGCTCCACATCACTAATCATCAGGGAATGCAAATTTCAGAGGTAAAGGGGGTGAGGGGAAGAAACAGGTGAGGGAAATAAAGAGACACAAACTTCCAGCTGCAGAATAAATGAGTCATGGGTATGAAATGTACAGTGTGGGGAACAGAGTCAATAAATATGTAGTATCTTTGTATGGTGACACATCGTAACTAGGTTTATCATGGTGATAA